CAGCTTCGTTTCTCGTAGCGGAGGATCGGTTTGTTACGATGGAAAGGGGTCAATAATTCTGACGTCCGCGCGGGGAATGGAGTGACGAGCAGCCGTGCGATTCCAAAAATACTTTTCTATGGTCGGTGAGTTGAACGTCTGGTGGCCGGCCACGCGTGTATCCCTCTGGTTCAGTCGAGCCATTCTTCCGTGTGGCGGAAGGCTGCGTTTCACATGTTGGTTAAAATGGCGGGAAACCTTGGTCGTCGGTGTCTGCTCGCTTTTTTGCGTCCTCTCTCGAGCGACAGACCTCCTCTCCTCGCGCAACAACGCTCGCGAATCTGTCGTTCACTCGTGTTTTCCTTCACCGTGTTCCATCAAATTCAACCCTTCGAGTACGTGCTCGTATAAACTTGGGATTTTGTCATCGAAGACGTACACAGTTTGTACGTACGCTTTTTTGTTCTTTGGCTCGTTTTTCGCTTGTTTCGTTCGCTTGACTCGCGTATAGTGCAAAACTGTGAAGATGGGAAATTAAATTATCACGAACGTGTGCAGATTGCGTTCGAAAAATTTGAGTTCACGAAAGTGTCCAATGTTTGTTCGAATTAAGATTTGATGCGGTATTTTATACCGAGACTTTTCGATATCACGAATCGTTCCAATTAAATTTGTATTTTTCCACGGAAAAGAGATCTCTTTCGTGATTAACGCGCAACTTTTACATTAGAATAGAACACGTTAACAGTCGATACAGTCGTCGTATCGTCTTAAAATACAACCTCGAACGTCCCCGAGAGTAGATGAGAGATAAAAGCGAGGCTAGGCGAGTTTGTTCGATTCCCGTTTTTGCTCCTCGATTTGCCCGCTGTCTTTCGCGTTGAAAGCTGGTTCGACGAACTTATCGTTTCGATTCATCGTTCCCTGTCGCGATGAAAGTCTCTCTTTGTATAATTCGCTTGATTGATCCTTGTGTCCTCGAGCTCGAATGGCGTTTCGGAAGGGAAACGTTAATTGATGAGCCTGATTCGTTTCGAAGGAACGTTACGAATGTACGAATGTTGGTAATATAGAAAGTGGGTAAACAAAATAACGAGACCGACGAATGAGTCACGTTTGCGTTAATTTTCACTCGACATTTCACTGTCAGGTGTTCGCTACGTATTATCCTGTTAACAGCTATATTTCTTACGGCCTTCAACCTGATTAACTATTTCGATGAAAAATTGTTTCACGAATTTTCTATGCAACGATCGTCGTTTTCTTTTTTAATTAATGAAAATTTTATATTGAGCGTAAAAAAACGTTAATATCGATATTTTCGATATCATATTCAACCCTATATTTTTGTTCCAATTCTATGTGTACAATAACGCGTAAAAAGAAAAAAAAAAAAAGAAAGGGAGTTGTTCTGATTCAACGGTTTACTTAACAGTTGGAAGCGTGCAAGAAAAGGAAATGGTAGAAGCGGTAACGTGCGATCGATCTCTTACGTGTTTTCAGATAACAGTATCGAGAACGATAAAAAAGGAAAACCTGCTTATCGATAATATACTCAACGGACGTAGTTATCGAACAGTTTTTAAACGTCGGTTTTTAACAATTCCAATTTCTCTCGTTTCCTCCGAATTTTCTTATTTATTCGTTCCGTTTCTAACATTTATCAAACATTTCTTCCTGTTTCCGCTTCATCTAATTTTGTTGTCATTATCGCATATTTATAAATAAATAAATAAACGAGTACGTAAATAATAAACGAAGCGTTCAGTTCAGTTGACGCGTATGCGTTTCACGTTCTCGATTGTATTCAAATTATACATTAGAAAAAGAAACTGTTTCGCCGTGTTGCATTATTATATATTACGAGTTTGTTTTATAGAAAGTTTCCTCTTGTTTACATTTTTTTAAGAAGCTGTGTAATTAATAACTTCCAATCCGGAAGCACTTTCGACTGATTAGAAAAAAAATAAATAAATAAATAAAAATAGATAAAACTCGGGAAAAGAAAGAAACTTGTACGTATATATAATAAGTTATATATAAAGAAATGAAATCGTTTCTTTCCTCGAAAGGAAAATTATAAAACTTTATTATTTTTTTCGCGATTGGTGTTTCTTGTTAGTCATCCGGGAACCGAAGGAATGAAAAAAAGATTACGTACTGTTTATTAAAATTTTTCTATCGTAAAATCGATAAAGTATTATCGATGTTGGTACACACGGAACACGCTGATAACAGAAATGATATTAAACAAACTGACAGCATTGAGTGAAAGGGAGGAGTGTATAATATATCAAATTCACTATATTGATTCCTCGTAATTCATTTCCTCCGTGTCATAACGAATACACTCGTGGAAGGGATGGAATAATCCCCGTGAAACGATCTAATAATTAATCTTCCTCTAAAGCATCTATCTAATTTCACCGATCAAAATATTTTGATTATCGATACTCCATCGAACGCTCCATTTTATTTATCTTTTCAAATACATTTTCGTTATTAAAATGTATCCACTTATCGTTGGGGGCAATCTTCGCGGTTTAAATTTAACGAGAGCGTTAAAGCCAATAAATCGATTACACTTATAAATAAGTTTAGTAGCGATCACATTCATTTAAATGTCACCGGTGTAAAAGTTAATTCTCGATAGAGAAGCAGCGATGCATCTGCTTTCAGCAACGAACGAAACGGAGAATTCAGTGACGCGTGCCGGGGAACGAATGTAGAAGCGGTACACGCTAATACACTCTAACCAACAACCGTGCTTCTCTCTCTCTTTCTCTCTCGAATTAGAAATGTGTGTGTCTCACAATGACATCACACCACGATCGTTCGAGTGAGACGATCGTTAGACTCGAATGATCTCGTTGCAAATCACCGTGTTCCTTCTATTTACGCATCCAGCCACGTTGTAATTCGACGTTGGATCGATCCATGATCGATCGATCGAACGTCGCCCGGCTTGACGTCGACTTTAAATAATTAATTTCACTCCCGTATCAAGCTTCGTATAAGGAAAAGCTTCACTTGTCTTTCCCTTGGTCCAGTGAGTCGAAAAGAAGCTGCTTATTTTCTTCTTCCTCTATTTTAGAGCGAGAGACAAATTTATTAAAATGTAAAAGAATTTTGAAGAACTTTTTTCTTGATAAGCGTGTTCTTTCTCTCCTCTCAAACGCGTCCTCTCTTATTATAAAACTTATTATTTCAATTTTCCTCGCGTACGAGCAAAAAAATGTATAAGAGATAATGAAATATAGCGAGAAATATAGGTAGAAAGTGAGCGAGTAGAGCAGATATGTGCCTAATGGGTGTCCGATTACCGGCTTAAGACACCTTTTTTATCCGTGCTCGTCGAGGGGAGAGGGGGAAACTTTCTGAACACCTGCCTCCTCGCCTCGGATATTACCGTTAATCTACGTATTAAATGTAGTTTTCATTCCCGATCCACCGTGAATATTACTCTTCTACTCCCCGGTTCTAATCATCGGTTATTAAGATCGCGCACGGAAAGCAAGAGCTACGCCTAGCCTAATGGCAACGTGTTGAAGAGAAACGACGATCCATGCTCGTCTCCCTCCGACGTTGTGCCAGATCCTCGCGCTTGATAAATCCACCCGGGGATAACGCAAGGGTTAAACGGTTACTCGTATAGGGTTTCGAACGTTTGTTTTCAGAGTACGATCGGAGTTATTCTCCAGCGATTCCGCAATCGCGTTTAATCGTTGGTCAAAGGTACTTGGTCGGCTTCGCTCGGTTATTTCACGCGGCTGATGAGTTTGACGAGGATGGAAGTGTATTTTAATTCTTTCTTAACTTTTTGTAATTCTTTTTTTTTTGAGTGATTAGAAGCGTTGTTTGCGTCGAACAACGTTGGTTCGATCGAGGCTTTATTAAATAGAGTGAAAGTTGCACAAATATCGCTCGATGGATAATACGATCGAGCGAAGGGGAATTGCGAGACGAAGTTATGAGTAACGAGGGAGCGTTATTGGAACGATTGACTATTGACCAGGATACATGTTGTGTAGGTATTCAGATTAGATCGAGATATTTCGGTAGGAAAAAATGAAAATGGGAAGAGAAAGATTTGCGCAGTTTAATCGAAATTGACAAATTCGCAATTCGTTTCATTGGTCGTTGACGCGATGCTCTCTTCCTGATTCGCGCTTCCATCAGTTGGACAACCGTTGCCTATGGCCGTGGTGAATTTTGTAACGGAACCGATAATTTACTGCTCAAAGTGCGAACGAAACCGGGACCTCGATGAAATCGATCAAGTGTATCATTTTGATGCAGTTTCTAATAACACAGGGACACGCTTCCAAGCAATAATTTCAACCAGTTACCTATATTTATGATTATAATGTTACTCTCTTCCGTGATGAAGCCTACGGTTACGAATCAAACTTGGCCTACTGTGTTTATAAACTCGCGTGATTTCATTCGGATATTTTAGAATTTTAGATAATATTCGATAATATATTTTAATACGAAGAATATATAAGCTCGGCGATAATCTTAAAATAAATATCCTCGATTTAATTAGATTTTCCCTCTATCCATTACACGTTTTAATTTCGTCCAATTTTCCTTGCATTTTACGAGAGGAACGCGTTTCTCGAGAGGAAATTAAAATTACCGTTCATTTCCTCGTCGATAGCGAATAATTTAATTCTATCTTATTAAACTCGGATACGGGAAAATTTTCACTTATATTTTGCTTTCTTTTCTGTTTTCACGTCTCTTTGTTCCCACTAACTAGAACGGTTAATAGTGGACAACCGTGTTCACGGAAATCGTGTAAAAGCAGGGCAATTTTCCGAGCCGCCTGTAATTACGACTGTAATAAAAGTTTCCACTTCCACTTTTTACCCCGCTTGCTCGATACGCGTTTCGAAGTTCGCTCCACTATCCAGAAAGGATCTGCTTTGCTGCGTCTATTTTAGATGTAATTTCCTTCGCGCCGATCTTTGATCGATTCGATTCGCTCGAGAGATGGAAAAAGTGGTGGTTTTATTGGATGGCTGTTTTATTGTATCTCGTATCATTATGGTTACCTTGAGGTAATTAGAGGAGAAGGGGCTGCTGATAGCTTCTCCATCCTTTTCTCACTTTTCTTTTCCGTTTAATGCCTCATTTCGATCTCGTTTCGTTCTCAAATACTTTCCTATTTTCTGCATCTTTCTATTCTCGTACACGTGGTATATATCTTCGAAATATCTTGTCTTTTTTTGAAAACAGATTTTTGAACCATTCTCTAGTTCCAATACATATCTGGAAATATATATATATATACACATAAATCTATAAATTTTTCTCCGTTATAAGTTTCTCTAAATTTCACCAGGTGCTGCTAATTTAGTGGCAATTTACGGTTAGTGCTTCCAAATGAATTTCTAAAAAGAAATCGTAAAGAAAATATATCTTAAATATTTCAACGAAACGTAAAAATATACATGTAATATATCAATTTTTCAAAATGCAACGCGCAAAAAATATAAAATATTACTTGCATATTTATAAATCCGATTTGATAAAGTGTCCATTCATCATATCGCCTCATGCATAATCGTTGGACGCGTCAAATCAAATGCACGATTTTCAATCCTCTTTCTGCCAAGATAAAACTCGACAAAACTCGATAAAACTCGCCCTCCTACCAATTCGTTCCTCTAATTTACTCCAAAAAAAAAAAAAAAATCTCGTTCTTTCCTCCTTCGATCGAACGAATCTGCTCATCGCGAATTCACGGCACGGCCGATCGCGCACGATCCTGCGCTACGGGACAAGTTGGACACGAGCGCGCCACCATTCCAACACCAGAAGGAAAATTGAGTTGCAGGTATCGCGATTACATCGAAATACGAGGGTGATATTTATGGACAGCTGCCACGTAAGCCTAGCGAGTGGAAGCGAGCGGAAGGACGCCATATTTTCCAGAAACTCGCGCCTCCACTCGCGGATCCACGCGACCCCGCGAGGAGATACGCGCATAATGGCGCGGGGGCCACGGCATATCGATATATCGCGCGTCGTTGCGCAATTTCCATTGGCGCGGCGGCGTCCAAGTGAAAGGGAATCGAGCGTTTTTCTTTTCTTTTCTTTTCTTTTTTCCCTCCCATCCCTCTCTACGCGTTTAGAACAGCGCGTGCCGAATACCGCCGAGTACAAGGTCTTCCACCTTCGGTCGAAACTTTTCACCGCAAATCGCGACGAATTCCGGTTGGGGAACCGATTCCAAAACCGATTCCTCTCTCGATTCGATTCGAATTCCATCCGATTTTAGATCAACTTGGGTTTAAATTTTTACGTATGACGTAGTAGAATATTGGAAAAGTGGTGGATGTAAATTAATCAGTCGTTGCCCCACTGACTCGAAGCGATGACGAAGAGTCAGGAAATGTGAATCACACGCTGGATCTGGTAACGAGGAATTCCGTCGAGGAGAGGAAATTCCCAACGACACTTGGACGATAAAGAAATCGCATCGACGCCTCTTCGAACTCGTGAAGGGAATGACCGATTCGATATTACGTTCCTCCGCGTTGAATGAAGAAGGAAGGGGGATTGTTTTACCAGTTTTTGTGCAAAGGAGTGGTTCAGTGGTTCGGATGAGATTCGACGCAACGCAGGGATAAAGCGGGGATCCAAGGGAACGGGTAAGAGCGTTTCGTTTTTCCCACGGGAGCGTCGATAGAATCCAGTTTGGTGTTTGTTTCTCTCGTCTAGGTGTTTGGTAGAGATAAAAATAAAAACGGAATAATAACGTTGAATCGGTGATCCTTTTAAAGTGAAGGGAAGCCTTCGAAGGAGGCAGAGTTTTAAAAAACCTTCGGCGCGCAGATGAGTTCTCCCCTCCTTAGGATTTTAGGGCTTCCCCCGATTACTCCGCTTCTTCTTAGATTTATATTTCTCAAGCGGGTGAAGACGCGTCGATAAGCTAAGGTGTTCGAGATTTATTTTTCGTTCGTTGGATGATCTTCTTCTCGAATGAAAGGTATTCTTTTCTGCATTCGATAAATTCGTATTCAAGGAAATGGATGAATGAAAAACCGAGGGGGATCCGCGGATAATCTTCTTAATCTCCTTTTTCCTATTAATTTCTTTTTCTTATTTTATGAAAATATAAAAGTGAAAGAAGAAACTATGTATTTTTTTTTTTTCTTCTGTATCGCGTTACGTTCCTCCATTTTCACTCTTTACATTTTCCTTTGATCGTTTTTTTCTTGCGATTATTACGCGAAACAAATTGTAAATTAGATTTCGCGATTTATAATTATATGGCGTAGTGATAACGTTCGCGGTACTCGAGTGTTGGTTACGTCGATGGAATCTTTAGCCCGTGGTTAAAAAAAGTTTACACGATCAGATATGGATAAAGAGCAGATATACAGGTTTTTAAAGATAGGGGCATTAATAACTCTCCCGTGTACGCGTTAGTTTCAACTTGGCGCATTGAGCGGAGAGTGTGAATGCTCGCCAAATGATTTCCATTCTAAGTAATTAAAATTTTTCCTTCGATTTATTTTGCTTCAATTTTCTACGTTCAAAATGAATAGAAATTTGTGCACATCGAATGTTTTTCGAATCTATCAAATTTCACGAGAATTCTTCCTCCCCTCTTCCCCCTCCCCCTTTTTTTTATGGTAATCGAAGAAAGTAATCGAAGCCAAGTGCGCTTTTGCGTATTTGCATAGCAGAAATTCCGTTTACGGATTATAAGCACTCATTAAGAAATGATTTTATGCCCATTGAGTGCGAGGTATGTGTAACCGTGAACATCGAAACCTTAGGGGACACGTTCCCTTCTCTTCGAAATCCTATGCAATTATGGCTTCTCAGAAGATAAGAATTTTCTATGCGTTTCATAGTTGAACGACACCATCGTTTTTATGGCGAACCTGAAGATAATATAAAAATTATACCACGTGTTTGTTGTACTTTCACCGTGTGTAATTTAATTGTTGCGTAACGAGAAGAGTTATCAATCTTGTTGCGACGGATAGGCGTTGAAAGGCCAGAATTCATTTATCTTGAAAACGTTTTACCCGACTGGATTTCCGAGATAAATCTTGCTCTCCTCGTATTTTAAGTAAGTGAGAACAGTTCGTATCGATTCGTCAAAATCCAATGATCTCTTCCGGTCAAAGAGGAGAACGTTGCTTCTCATTTCTAAAAAGACATTTCTCCGAGAAACGGATTTCATTTTTGATAGTTATCTTTCCACTCTCTAAAAATATATCGCATCTCGCGAGATTTCCATTAATCGTCAAAATTCCTCGTTCAAAACAAAAATC